TTAATTTTACAGGAGCCGTATAAAACTGAAAGCCGTACCTCCAGTGAGCTTTTGGCATGGTTTTTAATTTATGAATTTAATAATTTTAACCAGGGATGTTACGGAGCTTCGACTCCGATTCCGATAAGGCGGAACTTCCGATTATTATTTTTACACCTTCGGTTCCGACTTCGGGTCCGAAACTTTTAAATCGGAGGTTTTAATCGGAGGTCGATAGTAAATAGCGATGGCAGCCTGCGTCGACCGTTACGAACTGGTTCATACCGGTCGCGTTGGGAGTCTGTGTTAATAATAAGTAAATTTAAATGACAAAAGGTTATTTTATAATTTAAATGAAAAAAGGTTGACTGAATGATGTTTTCATTTGTTTTTAAATGAAAAATATCACTCTTGTGACCACTGCTGAGTCTGCCACTGACCCCGGCTCTGCCTCCGACTTCGCTTCCGACTCCGGTTCCGAATCCGATAAATTAAATTTAAAAACTCCGGCTCTGACTCCGGTTCCGACTCCGATAAATCAAATTTAAAAACTCCGACTCCGACTTCCGGATCAGTGTTCCGGGCTAGTGTTACCAGATGATAAAATCAAAAGTCCGAAGAACAGGCTTGATTTCCATTCAAAAATCCTGAGATTTTTTTGCAGTTTGAGAATTTTCTCTCAAAAGTACTTAACAATTTAAAAAAGTCGTAATATTATCGTTTATTCTGTGCTTACACTTTTAAATCAATGTAATTTGAAGAGCTTAACATGCGTGGCATTATATGAATCCATAATTAAAGAAAAAAACCTTACTTAAAAATGTATCTTCACATATTAAGTCTGATAAAACTGATTAAGTACTTACTTGGATAATAAAGTACTGATTTTTATTGTGCAATTATTACCAATAGAAGATTATTTTTAGTTTAACTTTTTATAGTATGCTGTATTTTATTGGAAATTCAAAAAATCCTGAGATTTCATGAGATTTGCAAAGAGAAGAGTCCAAAAATGCTGATATCTCAGGAATAATCCTGAGATATGGTAACCTTATCCCCGGCGGTCAAACAACTGCCTAACTGTGGCCATACACACTACGAGAAATCGTTACGATTAGACTGTACAGTTGATAAATCGTAGCGTGTATGTTATAAAACTGCACAGTTTCCTATACTAAACGAAATCGTATAAACTGTACCGTTCGAACTGTACAGTCTGATCGTAACGATTTCTCGTAGTGTGTATGGGTGCGGCCAGAGTGCACTCAGATTCAGAGTCAGATTCAGATTCTGAAAACAAGCGCGAGAAATAAACAGTGTAGTCTAAGCAGGTTGCCTGCTTTTTCTCGCGCTTTGTTTTCTGAGTCCGAATCTGAATCTGAATCAGGAGTGCAATCTGGCCGTACCCTTCGACTACACTGTTTATTTCTCGCGCTTGTTTTCGAAATCTGAATCTGAATCTGAATCTGAGTGCACTCTGGCCGCACCCTATGGCGGGTATAAGAGTCAAAGGCATTATGTGCTTGTCAAACAAGCATACTAAAATATCTCCAAGTAGTTAACACCCACGCTACAATAGTATTAAAAAGATCAAGGTTCGCCTATTTACATCTTGCGCAAGTGCTAAAGATGCCATTAATATTCAAATTAATTGCAAATTTCAACATCACTTATTCAGTCTATTATAGCATAGGTTTACTAATATAAATAACGCTAGTGGTATTTATACTGTATGACACAGCAATCAAAATTCAGGTAAACAATTAATGTACCTATATTTAATCATTATGTATGAAAGGTGACTATGAATCATCTCTGAAGTCTCAAGCCAGAAACATATTAATGTGTCGTGGCGTGACGTGGCGCATCGGTTTCATACATTTATTATGGGTTAGAGAGAGAGAGGTTAAAGCGTCGACACGACACGATACGTAAATATGTCTCTAAACATAGTAAATGTATGAAACCGATGTGCTTCTGGCGCGCCACGACACGACACGTTAATATGTTTCTGGCTTTAATTCAACTTGACGACTCTGTAAATGATAAAACAGGGAGAAAAAAACAGCCCTTGCTGAGTTTTTTGCCGGTTCTTCTCAGTACAAGGTCTCCCGCCGTAGATTTACGAACCGATGGCGTAGCTTCTAGACATTCATGAGTGCTTGTAACAGCCTACACTAAATAAATGATTTTGATTATGATTATAGGCTGAGTCAAGAACTTCTGAGGGTGTGCAAACCTAAGGTCGACCACCTTGCATTTTTGGAATGTATCCTTATATGTAAAAAAATACATAGTATAAAATAATCCGCGTCTGTCTGTTTATCCAATAATTCCTCCGGATTTTGATGAGTACTTCATTACCAAGGTCATAGCTTATTAGAGCGCCCACTCGTGGACGCCAAGTTGTCAACCAGTTAGGCGCTTTGCAGACGGCGGGGCGGAGCGGGCAGTCAATTTCGCCGCGAACGATAGCACAAAGTGAATCCTATACTACAAACGCACACAGAGGGCAAAAAGACCGCGCCTTGGGTGCCCGGCGGGCACTGGCGGCGCGGCATGTCCGCGGCTGCCCGCCGTGGATCATACAAACCAGTTTATATGCAGTAACGCAGACGGCGGCGCGGGGCGGCTAGCTCACTCCGCGCCACGCGCTTTTTAGTGATGGCCTATTCACTAGAACGAACGTCTTGAACTGACTGCCTCTGCCCGCCGTGTACTTTGTGTACGCGGCGAGGAGTTCTATTTTTGAATCACTCGTCTTGCGTCGAACGCTCGATTTCTACTAAATTTCATTCGACATAATTAAATCCGTATTTTTGAATCTCTCGAGTGCAACGAATGGGTGAGACCACTCGCTGCATGGTGAATGGTGGAGGCGAATGATAGAATAATTGTCAATTCTTTTGTGCTATTAGACGACGATAATCTATCATTTTTATGCTTTATATGAAACGACAAAGAGTAGTAGTAATTACCGGTTTTTATTATTTCTGCGTGAAATGAGTAAAATTTCGTATTTCGTATCAAACAGGTAACACTGGTGACGAGTGATTCAAAAATACGGAAAATCAGTATTATGCGTCTTGAAAGTCGAAGGTGACTTATGTCGCATTCGACGATACTATGTCAGACGAGTGATTCAAAAATAGAGCTCGAGGCCAGCCGCAGACATCGACGGGCAGACGCGGTTTTTATTGCTTCGCGGACAAAAAGCCCGCCCCGCCCCGTCGTCTGCTAAGCGCCTTAACGTTGGCTGGGCCAAGGGTGAACACCTCGTTGTCAACTAGTGAACGTCAGATGGTCAACGGGTGCACTCTGCGCCTGCGCCGTCACGTAGTTGACTCCGCGTTGTCAGCGAAAGTTAATTGTTATTGTTTTCACAATGTTTAATTTTACAAACAGTGATTTGGTTCAAATAGCTGTCACGCTTGATGAGGAAGCAAAAATCAATCAATCTGACGTTTCATTATAGCTTAACTTTTGTCAGTATAAATTTCACCGGTTTGAGAAAGCAAAGTGATATATGAAGTACAGACAAGTTTAATGATTAAAATTATTTGTTTTGAATAAACTTAAAATATTATAATAGTTTATAATAATGAAATATTTTTTTTATGTATAAACTAGCGGCCCGCCCTCGCTTCGCTTCGGTGTAGAGCTGAAGTGTAGACTACAGTTTTTGTTCTCAGGCTTGTATTATACACATTCATTATTGTATTATACACATTCATGCAAAGTCTCAGCCCGATCGGTTTAAAATTGACAAAGTTTCATACAAACTTTCGTTCCCTATTTTTTTCCCTTGGGGGTGGAATTGATCAAAATCCTTTCTTAGCGGATGCCTACGTCATAACATCTACCTGCATGCCAAATTTCAGCCCGATCCGTTCAGTGGTTTGGGCTGTGCGTTGATAGATCACTATGTCAGTCAGTCACCTTTGAGTTTTATATATATAGAAGACTAGCTGACCCAGCGAACTTACCGCCCTAAAAAAATAGGGGTTGTCCAGCGGACAAAATTGTGAATCTAAACCATTCTCAGATCCCCTTGAACACACACAAAAAATTTCATCATAATCGGTCCAGTCGTTTAAGAGAAGTTCAGTGACATACACACTCACAGAAGAAGTATATATATAAAGATTGATAAAGAATATAAATAGCACGAGTGCGGTGCTCTAAAGCTTGGCAGTCTGGACGTCTGTGGAAGAAAGGTAGCACGTTTACCTGCCCGATGGGTTCTAGCAGTCTGTACTGGTTGAGCTGCTCGTATCCAGGCACCTGCGCGACCGTGAATGCACTCCGCTTGGCCGCGTGTGACTGCAGTACGTTCAAGCGTTCACTGGTGGGCAGCGTGGAGAGTATGAGTTAGAAAAGGCACATGTTCACCTGAACGATGGGTTCAGCAGTCTTTACTGATTAAGCTGTACGTATCCAGGCGTCTGTGCGACCGTGACTGCACTCCGCCGATGTAACTCACCTGTCCGATAGGTTCCAGCAGTCTGTATTGGTTGACCTGCACGTATCCAGGCGTTTGCGCGACCGTGACTGCACTCCGCCGATGTAACTCACCTGTCCGATAGGTTCCAGCAGTCTGTACTGGTTAAGCTGCACGTATCCAGGCGCCTGCGCGACCGTGACTGCACTCCGCCGATGTAACTCACCTGTCCGATAGGTTCCAGCTGTCTGTATTGGTTGAGCTGCACGTATCCAGGCGTCTGCGCGACCGTGACTGCACTCCGCCGATGTAACTCACCTGTCCGATAGGTTCCGGCAGTCTGTATTGGTTAAGCTGCACGTATCCAGGCGTCTGCACGACCGTTGCTTAGAGGGTGTTCGCAGGGTTTTTTATCGGATATTATGCCGTAAAGCCCCCGTAAGGCTTGCGGGAGCCAGGTGTGAGGTCTGTTCGGCGGTGTGACTCTTAAAGGCGTCGTCGTCTGTAAATAGTATTTTTTGCCTGCGTATAAAAAAAGGCGTCTGCGCGACCGTGACTGCACTCCGCCGATGTAGCTCACCTGTCCGATAGGTTCCAGCAGTCTGTACTGGTTAAGCTGCACGTATCCAGGCGCCTGCGCGAGGGAGATGCGCCGCGACTCGCGCGGCGGCCGGCGCGGTCGCGGGGAGCTGTGGCCGCACTCCGCCGACTTGGCCGCATGCGACCGGAGCAGGTTCGAGCGGTCGCCAGTCGGCAGCGTGGACAGTCTGAGGAATAAAGGGAACTAGTACACATCGGCTACTTAAGAGTCCTTTTACAGAATGAGGGCTATCGCGTCTGAAACCGCCGCTAGAGGCGCTTGTGTTGCGTGAGGTCTCCGAAATGTCAAATGTTATTGCTTGTTGGTTGACTACGCGGGTTTATTTCTAATTAAAATAATGTTGTGAATAATTGGTAACAATTCGGCTTAATTATGGCAAATATGAGTTATGTGGCAATGAATGTCAGTTATTAAAAATTTGAGCTTAGAAAAATGATTATGTTCCCATTTTTTCCGAATAAAACGGAACTGCGCGTCACTGTGGCATGGCCTATTATGTTTACGATATGGTTCTTTTGTGTTAAAATACGATCTAAATGTAACCTTTGATTTCATGTGCGTATTAATAAACTTTAAAAGTTACAATTTAGGACCTCACTCAACAGTGGCGCCATCTGGTGAGGCAGAAAACGGTAGCCCTCATTGCTCAATTATTGCAGCCGAACCACTTGCGCCATCGAGCTCCTTCTTAAATATTTATTTTAGTTTAATTATTTATTTTGAAAGTGAAGATATGTACAACTTAATGATCTGCGAATATTTCAAGCATCTACCGGTTGCCATTATTAACATAGAGCAAAACACGGAAAAAAAACACGTTTGTTGTATGAGAATCCCTTTTAAATGTTCAGTTCATTCTGTCAATATTTACTGTCTACCTATCACGGTTCATAGGATACAGTCTGGTGACAGACAGGCAGACAGACGGACAGCAGAGTCTTAGTAATAGGGTCCCGTCTTTACCCTTTGGGTACGGAACCCTAAAGACGACGCATTTATAGCAATAGTTGACAATAAGTTATCATAATTCACCTAAGACAGCCTTAAGAGCCCTTTTACAAAATTGCGCCGCTGCCGTACTGATCGGCGCGTAGGTAGATTTGCACTAGTATATATTGCATTTTACGGGTGATGTTTCGAGTCTTATAAAATAATTATTAATGAACTAATTATAAAAATGTACACATATTTCAGTATTTCAGTGATGGTAGATTAGTTTTACGAAAGTTTTTGACAGTAATTCTATTTAATTTAATATCAAAATACGAGGTAAACCTGCATTGTTTTTTGGGAAAACTCAAGGAGGTTAGATTTTTTTTTGATAATTAATGAGATGCAAAATCAAAATTCTAATACATTATGTTACAACAAAAACATATTTCTGATGTCTTAGTAATTAATTTGATCTAATTTATTGAACATAATTTAGAGAATTAGGCGTTTGAAGTTGTGCATATTATTGTCTTTTCCGTAAACTAGCTGCGGTAGAACGAACCAAGGGCGTAGCCAGGATTTAGTTTAGGGGGGGGCAGGCGAGTGAAACTAATATGTTCGCTACAAAAATTTAATTTTCTTGTATCATCTTTCGCTGGGCACTTAACATACACAGGCCATTTATGTGTCCTATGTATGTTAAGAGATCAAGATCGAGCATCGTCTACCTCAACCACGTTTTGACTACACCGCAGTGTAGAGAAGTACCTCGTGGTGCAAGACAGTGCCAAAGAAATTAGTATAGATTTTCTGGTTGGAGGAAATAATGTTTCCGCCTTCTCTAACAACTGCGCAAAGTTCAGCTCTCTTAGGTGTTCTCTTGGCATATCTTTCCGTCGTTTATATCACAGTTCGGCTTTATTATCAAAGGATTCTAACCCATAGTAACTTAGTGTTTTCTCTTTGAATTCAGCCAATGAAATTTTCAACATCGCATCAGGATGCAGCATCATCAATCCGAAGGCAGGCATATGCCTACTGGAACATCGTTTCTTTGATTAACATATGTTTATCAAAGAAACGATGTTCCAGTGCGGATATAAGGGAATCCAAATACGGAATGAAGATCGATCGCTTCCAAAAATCGCATGGAGTCTCAGCAGGATGATTGGACTGATGTCGTTGGCGAAATGCAATGCGCGGGATATATAAATCGGTTCCAATGACAACTGCAGTTTCCGTAGAAGTGTCGAAGAGGATTGGAATTCCTGGTCCGCGTTACTGAGATGCTTCTTTCATATATACATGTCTATTGTCTTTGACTATAGGGCATTGGCAACAGGTTCCAATATTCCTAAGTATTTTCCTATCAAACCAGCAGATATAATAAATTCTTAATTGGTAGCAGCACATATAAGTGGTAAGCATTTTTTCTCGCTGCAGCATTACCTTCTCTAGAAATTGCCAAAAGCCCATTGAGAATGCCCTCAAAATGATCGTTAAAAATAGCAATACTTTTGTTTTTTTGTGACCAGCGTGTCTCACAAAGAGCTGGAATATTTGGCACGTACTTTCACCGTAGAGAAGATTCTCGAAAAAGTTGATGGCATCTTTTATTGTGCTAATCGTTTCTCTTATTTCTGGAACATTATTAAAATCATTAACCGCCAAGTTTATTTTGTAACTTGCACAAAGAAAATACAATGCTTATTTGCCCAAAAAGGATTAACCACAAATAAAAAACAAATTAACTCAACTGTAAACTCGAAAAGCAAGTCTTTTTCAATCCTAGATACTGAAACTGACTAGACTATTTTAAAAGATACGTATGAAAATCACTACAATGTACCAGATGATGTTGGTGTTTCGTCATCCAGACCGGACGTATTCCCCTTTTTAGGCACATCAAACATAAGTACTAATAGAGCTTACTGTATCGTACTAACATTCCAAAATACCTCACAATAAAATTGAATACATATTACGATCTTACCAACGAACTAACCAAAAATGGCTATCTAGTTAATTTACATGCGGTAGAAGTAGGAGCGAGAGGTATACCAGCAAAATCTTTCTATAACCTTCTAAAAGACCTCGGCCTATCGAGAACTGCAGTAAGTTTAATTTTGGAACGAGTAACTAAGGCTGCACTAACAGACTCCTATCAAGTTTGGCTAGGAAGGGCGGGCAACTCAAGCAGTGAAGGTGAGCGTTGATGCGTATCTCAAAGGGGGCCTCCTTAAACCTACACCGGGTGGCAAGGCCCGGAAACAGAGTTTCTCTCTCTGCCACACGATTGACTCGGCACCCGCACGGTGAAACATGGATTGTTAAGAATTTCGTCTCACATACAATTAATTAATGAGAATAGATGTCATTTTATGATCTTTTTAGGGCTTGTACTAGCTAGTAAAAAACTAATTTTTGAATAACTTATTTTTATGATGCTTCTAAACCTGTGTTCTAAACGGGCCATAGTTGCCCGGCAATGTGTGGCTACGATACATGGCCCGGCAAAATTATATTTTTAAGAATACCTTAATACTTGTTAGTTGTACACACAGTAACATTATACAGACTGCACACTTTAAAAAAATCCTTATATCCATCATTTTACGTCCAAGAAATGCTTAACGTAGGTACGTACGAAATCACTTCTCTGTTTACGAGTAGTCCTATCGAAATTAGAGCTTAAGGGTACGGCCAGAGTGCACTCAGATTCAAATTCAGATTCAGACTCAGAAAACAAGCGCGAGAAATAAACAGTGTACCTAGTTAAAGCAGGATGGCCATAGTGGCAGCAGGCTGCTTAAACTACACTGTTTATTTCTCGTGCTTGTTTTCTGAGTCTGAATCTGAATCTGAGTGCACTCTGGCCGTACCCTTAGTAACGAGACTAATGAGAGTGATGTGCAATTCTATATTTTTTTTTAATTTTATATTTAGTTTTTGGATTATTTATTATTTAATTTTTGGTTCCGAAGCTCCTCGATCTAGGGGGGGGCAGCTGCCCCCCCCTGCCCGTACCTGGCTACGCCCATGGAACGAACAGTACAAAAAAAACGAAAATCGTATTTGTAAATATTCTACATTAACTTACAAAAGGAAGAATAAATCTACTGTTTACTTCTATTGGAAATACGAAATAGTCAAAATCTTTTCTAAGGGGGTAAACGAGGCGCTCAAAAATTACGATTATTTGCAAAAAATGTGCAAGGGCACTGTACAGATCCCACATAAAAAATGAAAAGGGTTTCTCGCGTTTTTCCTTTTGAATACGTAGATGAAATAAAAAGACAAAACTGTGTCCAAGGCGAAACAAGAAGGATTTCGTCATCATCAGCCTCTTTATGTCCCCACTGCTGGGGCACAGGCCTTCCCTATGGATGGAATAGAGAGATTGGGCCATGACCCACCACGCGGGCCCAGTGCGGATTGGCGGGTTCTAACGATTGCAGATGCAACCGGGACCAACGGCTTAACGTGCCTTACGAAGCACGGAGGAACTCGAGATAGAAATTTTTGGTCACCCATCCAATGACCGACCACTGCGAAAGTTGCTTAACTACAACGATCGCAGCCGAACGCACTAACCACCTGCGCCATGGAGCTTTTCGAGAAGGATTTATTTGTTACAATTGGTAATTATCTTAACTTATATCTAAAACACTGACGCGAAAGTTTAGCGCGATTCATCATGGTACAGCGACATCTAGTGGCAAATGTTATGTTATAACTATTATTCGTATAATATATTTTTAATGCTTATTCGAACAGGCTCTTATGCAGTATTGAAGATTATCAGCAGGCTCAACCGGTGGAGCATGGATAGTCTGAGGATGGAAGAGCTGGTTTGACATCAAATACTTAAACAGTTTAAGAACATTATAGAAATACACTATCATCATCAGATTCAATCCGTCACAAACGGTTTTGAGAGCGAATGTTTTTTAACAAAGGTGAAGTAGAGGCAAAACGTACCGTAGCAATTTGGGTCACCATTCACTCATCCCTAGGTTAAGTAGATGATTTGGTGAGCTTGTGAAGAAGGATCATACTATTGATATTTTTCATGATAAAATACCAACTTTGAAAAACAAAATATTTAGATTACTGAGAAAGTAGATACTTAACTGTTTAATATTATTGATAATAAAATTAGTTTGCCAATAATGGGTCTGGTACGTAAGTGGTTCTCTGAACTTACGACCATATTTGGGGGTGGTCTCCCCT